TTGGATGAGAACTGAAACTGGATATTCGGAACAGTAACAGTAAAGCTTTGTTTTTATTTATTTTTCTAATGCATCTGGACGTTTTTTCTTTCTTTTGCTTTTCTGTCAATGGTTGTTAGTATTTCTACTTTAAAAGACTGTATTCTCACTTAAATTATACAACTATTGGTTTTCAGTCTTAATTTGAGAGATGTTTCTGTGTTTTATATTTAAATTGACTATATGTATATGAATACACTATAGAGTTTCTATATTTGAAAAAGCTATTAAATAGTAGAGAACAACATGACAGCTTTTTTTATCATGAAATGAAGAGCTCACGTGCAAATTTAGGTGCTCCATGTATCTCTGTGTAATATCACTGTATTCACCTCCAAGCACTCTGTGAAGTATCCTGTGTGAGGGCAGTGCTCTAGATAGTTTATGTAATGCTGTGGAAATTCAGTCCAAGAAATGAACCTTTGCATCTCTTGGAACAGCTGCAGAGGCTCAGGTCTACTCATCCAGCTCAGGGTGGACATGAGGCATTTGGATTAGATACAGATGGAGTAGGGATTTCATTAATGACAGAAGGAGAAGCAAACATTGAGCCATAACTGCCTGAATGCAAACGTATAATAACTGTGTACATATTTCTGACTTTAAACTATGAAAACCATAAATATGCTATCATGCAAGAGGTAAAGCATATGCAAACGTAATGATATCCCCCTACTTCCCCAGTAGAAAAGAATTTTCATAACTCATTCATAGTCCATTGAATAAACACTAAGATTCACTGCTGGCTGTTAATTATCCTCTACAAAGACCTGGTTATTGTGCTCAATCTTAGTAAAGGCGCAGTTGTTATTGTAGTGTACATAGAGAGAATGGTACCTAAGGGAGAGGGGAGGCAATATGCTTGTGCAGAATTTTAACAAGGGGAGCTGTGTTGCACAGAAGGGATTCATAGGGTGGGATTTTGATATAATGTGCTTCAGGAAATGAAGCTTTTTTGAAAGACAAAAACCTTGCCGCGACTCTCTGCATACATGATATCACTCAGTATTTGAAAGACACCAGACAGCAAAAAATTACTCGTTATTAACAGGAATTTCTAAGATGATTTTGAATGAAGGGGTAGAAGGGAGGAACTGGTCACTCCATAATCTTATCAAGGCAGGTGTATGCAAGAGGCCCATTCATCTCCCTGGGGTTTTTGAGGAGCACTTGGAGGCAACCAGTCAAAGGCTGCAACCCTCTTCCCCAACACCAGCACAGCAAGGCACAGGGACCTTACATGGGAGCTTTCCCTACAGGTCCCAGTACAATGGCACAGTAAGAGAGCACTGACTGGAATTGCCACCTGGACTGGGCACAATGCTGAGGCCACCAGGACTCATCAGACTTTGGAAGGGCTGGGAACAAAGGTGGCAAGTCCCAGGTAGCCACATACTTCTGTGCTGAACTGTTGGGAAGTGCTGCAGCTGGCATTTTGGCAGATCCAGGAGAGATCCACTGGAGGTGCTGTTTTGATGGGGTGAGTTCTTTCCCAGCTGTCTTCTGCTATCTGTCTGACAGGAGGAGGCTGAGCCATGTGATATTGGTGTTACTGAAGTTGTTGCTTTTGGTATGAAGTAGATCGGTGGCTCTAGGCTCTTGTGGGAGGACTAGTCTGGCAGAGAGGCAGCACAGCAGCTGAAAGAAGTCAGCTTCTGTCCCTATTGCTTTTCCTTATTGCTACTGTATGCCCCTCTTCTCCTTTGTTGTGCAGGGAGTGCAGATTGTGCTGTATCTGTGCTGCTTGTTCTAAATGTGCATGTCGAAAGAGAGAAAAAACATGTAGCTTTTGGTGGAAATACTGAGAATAAGAAAACAGAATAAACAAAGCTAAAAAAAGGAGAAGTAAAACTTCTATAAATATGAAGCGTAGCTAGGGATGAAGGGAACGGAACGAAGATGGTAAGGGAAGTGAAGCAAGAATTCTGGGGTGGGATGTAAGAAGCCACGAGACATCACGGCTCATTCCGGTCACTAGTAGCGTTCCCCAGGGCGTGGTACTGGGGCCGGTCCTTGTTAATGTCGTTATCGATGATCTGGATGAGGGGATCGAGTGCACCCTCAGTAAGTTCGCAGATGACACCAAGTTAGGTGCGTGTGTCGATTTGCTCGAGGGCAGGAAAGCTCTGCAGGAGGATCTGGATAGGCTGCACCGATGGGCTGAGGTCAACCGCATGAAGTTCAACAAGGCCAACTGCCAGGTCCTGCACCTGGGGCGCAATAACCCCAAGCAGAGCTACAGGCTGGGAGATGAGTGGTTGGAGAGCTGCCAGGCAGAGAAGGACCTGGGAGTGATGGTGGACAGTCGGCTGAATGTGAGCCAGCAGTGTGCTCAGGTGGCCAAGAAGGCCAACAGCATCCTGGCTTGTATAAGAAGCAGTGTGGCCAGCAGGGCTAGGGAAGTGATTGTCCCCCTGTACTCGGCTCTGGTGAGGCCGCACCTCGAGTACTGTGTTCAGTTTTGGGCCCCTCGCTACAAGAAGGACATCGAGGTGCTCGAGCGAGTCCAGAGAAGGGCGACGAAGCTGATGAGGGGCCTGGAGAACAAGTCCTACGAGGAGCGGCTGAGGGAGCTGGGCTTGTTCAGCCTGGAGAAAAGGAGGCTCAGGGGCGACCTTATTGCTCTCTACAGGTACCTTAAAGGAGGCTGTAGTGAGGTGAGGGTTGCTCTGTTCTCCCACATACCTGATGACAGGATGAGGGGGAACGGGTTAAAGTTGTGCCAGGGGAGTTTCAGGTTGGATATTAGGAAGAACTTCTTTACTGAGAGGGTTGTGAGGCATTGGAACGGGCTACCCAGGGAAGTGGTGGAGTCACCATCCCTGGAAGTCTTTAAAAGATGTTTAGATGTTGAACTTAGCGATATGTTTTAGTGGAGGACTTGTTAGTGTTAAGTCAGAGGTTGGTCTTGATGATCCTGAGGTCTCTTCCAACCTAGACAGTCCTGTGATTCTGTGATCACAGCTTGATCCACTAATGGGCTGGCTTCCTGAGACACTAGCTGGCAAAGACACAGCCCTCTTGAGCTGCCCTTCCCTGCACAACTACTTGAGTATGGCTGTGGTAGAGCAGGTGATTGATGGATTTCTGCGCTTGAACAAAATGGGGTGCTTTCTTCTGCAGTCTTTCATGGCTAACCTAAAATAGCAGTGTGATGGTTTTGGTTGGGATAGAGTTAGTTCTTTGTTGAAGCTTATATGATGTTATGCTTTAGATTTTTGATGAAAATAGTGGTGATACAAGTGATGTTTTTAGTTGTTGCAGAGCAGTGCTTACACAGAACGAGGACTTTTTTGCTTCTTGCCAGCAAGGGGGCTGGGGGTACACCAGGAGCTGGGAAGGGTCATGGCCAGGACAGGTGAGCCAGACTGGACCAAAGAGATACTCCATTTCATATGGCGTCATGCTTGGCACTAAAAGGTGGGGTAAAGGAGGAAGGGGGTGGGGGGTGCATTTGGAGTGATGGCACACATCTTCACAAGAAACCGTTAACGTGTGATGAGCCCTGTTTTCCTGCGAGTGGCTGAACACCTGCCTGCCAGTGGGAAGTGGTAAATGAATTCCTGGGTTTGCTTTTCCTGTGTGTGTGGCTTTTGCGTTACCTAGTAAACTGTCTTTGTCTCAACTCATGAGTTCTCACGCTTTTACCTTTCTAATTCTCTCCCCTATCCCACATGGGGAGAGTGAGTGAGCAGCAGGGTGGTGCTCAGCAGCCTGCCGGGGCTAAACCACAACAAGCAGGTAAGAAAGCAACACCAGAAGACCCTGTTCACTTGGGAGGTACTTGGATCCTGGACTTGTGTTGAAAGGGAAAGACCTACCTAGCCTTTCCCCCAAAATCCCAAACATGGTCTGTTGTAACAGTGGAATAGGTTAATTTTACCTTCTGCTCAATTGTTAGCACTACATTTAGCATTAAATCCTTGCTCACTTTTGAGAGAGAATGGTTTTCTTTGCATTCCTTGCAGTTGGTGAGACTAGTATTGGTTCAGGCTCAGAGGCTTCTAACTTAACGGCAGCTAGAAACAGTTCACTAGTAAAAGTCTAGACTTTTATTCACCCCTGGCTTAAAAGGAAAGTCTGTAAATATTTTTGGGATTTTAAGAGTGTTACTACAAGCTGCATACTATTCTAATAGTTGCTTGCAAAGTTCTTGTATATTTAGGAGCAATTTGTAAGTATCACATCTGCAAAACTTTTAATGTTTAATATTAAAATATCTTGAGAGGATTTTAAAGATTTTCTTCTCTGTTGTTTTTTGTGATTAGTCAGAAAATACTTTTCATGCTCCTTCTGCCTCTGATTTTCTTGACCCACAGCTGCTGTTCTCCGGTTTTAATAAATGCATAGTGCACCTCCAGGGAGCCTACTTGGAGCACAAGCGGAAAAATAACCGTTAGCAAAATTCCATGAGAGACGTGTTGTGCTCCATCTGTAAAGGGGAACAAAATGTAAACTAAGGTTATTCTTCAGCTCCTGCTGGGGAGTAAGACTTGCCTTGACTAGATTTGCCTTATTTGCCTTCTAGGAACAGTGTCAGTGTGGAAGAATGCTGGCTCTTCCCACTTCCTCAATTTTCTGATGGCATTTGTTAGCCTTATAGTGAAAGAATACTAAAATGAATACATAAAACTTGTAAAATGGGAATGATCAGCTGGCCAGCATTGAAAGGATAGATTTATATTAATGTCTCAGCATTGCAGTCATGGTAATGTTCAGGTGCTTGGGCAGAGCAATGAAATGGATTGAGGGTTGGGGCTGACCAGAGAAGAGGTGATAGCTTGCCTTCCCTCCTCCTCTCCATTTTTTCCTTCATGAGCACCTATTGCTGCAGAATCAGCCATGGGGAAAGTAGGCCAGAGACCAGATACAAGTGGAAAAGAAATGAAAGAGGGAGAGTTATCCCTCTTACTTTGACAGTACTGGGGTCTAAAACATCTATACGTTGTAAGTAATGAATAGTTTTTGTGTTTGTCTGTTTTTTGTTTGTTTGTTTGTTTTTGTTTTGTTTTTAAATTTGTGTGAAGTAAGCTAAGATGGCTTTTAGATGAAGAGCTGTCACAAAATGGCAGCCTACTTCCTGGAATGGGAAGGGGAGCTCACACTGTGCGTGTGTGTGTAAAACGTAGTGGGAGGGAGGACTTTAGCCTTCTCCTGTTCATCCTTAACACTTTCCTGGGAGCCTTTCCTGATGGAAGATATCACATAAGCCTTGAAAACTGTTTTCTTGTTGTGCTTCCCGGGTGAGGGAGCATGTGTGATGTCTGTGGCACGGCCTTGCAGTGGGGCCTGCTAGGAGCCAGATTAGGACAAGGCAGAACAGTGAGGGCCCAGAGACCCTTTATGGCTGTGTGTGGAGCCCTGATGGGAAGGGAAGGGGCAGGAGGAGAGCCAGCAGTGCTATTTTTTGCATCACAAAGAAATTAATACTGTGGGAAGCCATTTCTGTGACTGCCAGATATCACAGCAGCTGTAGCAGCAACTGGAAGAGTCTGGACAAGGGGATTTTATATTGTTGTTTTGGTCACTGTTAATATCTCCCTGTTATTTGTTAACAATGATTCTCTCAAGTGCCCCTTCCTTTAGGCAAATGGGCATGCAAGCAGCCCTGCCAGTGGTTGTGTGCGTGTGTGAGGATCTAGTTGTATCGTGTAAACCCACTCAGAGGAGAAAAGTGAGGGCATATATGGCCACCAAGTCAGGCTGTGGGGGAATTTTGATTTAATTGTGTGTCATATATGGTAACGGGTATCATTGTATTTTTCAGCTTTGCTTTTTCCAACAGTTTTAGATACCTCATGTGGGGAAAGTAGTATCTTTTAAAGAATGTGTTCTATATTTGGTACTCATTTAAGGCACAAATGTGTCTAAAGGAAAAAGGCTTTTCAAGTGGCATGCTGCTGGCTCAAAGGTTCCTCAACAAACTCTGCCGGGCTCTGCCTCTGAGCTGGGCTGCCCTCTCACCAGCCTGAGCCTTGAGGGATCAGTTTGGGAACTGCTTGACACTCTGCACGATATTCTTCAATGGCCTCTTTCTTCTCTGGAAGAAAGATACAGGGAAATGTCAGAGAGAATTAACAACTTGGATGGGCAAGGACTGAAAACTCTACGGCGATGACTGAGAGAGGAGCGCTGTCCCACAAGGAAACAATTATTAGTACTACACAGGTTGACTTAAAACAAAACACAACAACAAAAAAAATAAAATACAGCAAAACCTTAAATTAAAAAAAAAAAAAAAAGAAAGAAAAAAAAAAGGTGGAGAAACAAGTTGTGAATGGGCTCTAGTCTCCAGCTGGTATTTTGGCAATAGCACTAATAGGCAAAATGTTGAGAATCGCTTCTCTTAAAATCGCAGCTGAAAAGCTTGTTTGAATATTATGCCCAGGGCTGTAATGATATACTTCCTATGCACAAGTGTGAGAGAAACAGCCCAAAACAGGGAGCGTGGGCTGGTGGTAGCTCTGTGGTGATCTTTGCAGGCTTCCCCCTTCAGATCACAGAATCACAGAATGGTTTGGATTGGAATGGACCTTAAAGACCATCTAATTTCAGCCCCCCTGGTATGGGCAGGGACACCTTGTGCTAGACCAAGTTGCTCAAAGCCCCATCTAGCCCTGGCCTTAAACACCTCCAGAGGTGAGGCATCCACACCTTCTCTGGGCAACTTGTTCCAGTGCCTCACCACCCAAGGGGACACTGAGTTGCTGCTGGATTTGGAGCTGCTCCCACACCACCTGTGAGCTGGAGGATCCACATTAATGCCTCAAGTTGTTTAGGATCTGCAGAGCTACAGGTGGGTGGTACAGGCAGAGCCTGGATCAGCAGCACAAATCTGCAAATTGTGAATGAGTGCGTATGTGGAAAATCTACAACAGGATGGAAAAATGTTTTCCAAAGAACAGAATGGAGCAGTGAATAAATAATTAGGCTCTTACTCAAACCAGAGGACAAGGAAAAACATGTTCTGTTTTTCTTCTTTGAGTTGCTAAGGTGGTCACCTGTTTCTGCCATGAGTCTCAGTGTATAGCCTCTGGCGAGGCTCTCAGTACTCCTGCACATTCAGATTCATGTCTGTGAAATGGGGATAGTTTCTCTCATGATTAACAGAGACTTCAGGTGGAGAACATCCTCAGTTGACTGAAGAGCTTATGGAGCAGTACTGGAGGCAATGCTCCCATTCCTGGAACAGGCATCAGTGAACTAGATAAGCCACAAGCAAGGATTTAAAACAGTTCGGGAACTGAATGGCATTTCTATCCAACAAAGACCAAATGTTTTCTATTGGGAGATAAGGATATTTTGTTTCTCACAGTGTAAACATGAAAATATTTGCCTTTGTAGATTAACCACAGTAATGAAAATATTTTCCATAGTCACCAGTTGGGAGTTCTCATACTCTGTTGATAGATCTGAAATGGTTTGATATAGACTGTGACTGGGAGTTTAATTGAATGCTAGATACGGGGCAGGCTGAGGCCTTTTCACTCAGGATACAGCAGGCAATGTTCTCAGTGAAGTCTCTTCTGTGCTTACAGTCATGACGTTGATGACCTGTGTATCAAATGAGGACAAACGGTAGATGAATCAATGAGGAAATGGGAAAAATGAGTATTTGCTCACATCTGCATTGGCTGACACTTGGTTTTGATGCCTGAGTGGCTGGCTTTCTGGCCCTGTGGGAAATCATTAACATATTTTAATTCCTATTGATTTCTACTTGGCAAAAGTAATATCTAACAGCTTTTACAGAAGCCAAACTGTGTGTCTTTATACTGACTTTGACGAATAAGTTACTTTTTTTTTTTTTTTTTCCCCATAGAAAGCCCAGAGGCAAATTACAAAGTTTTACAGAATGTTTGGAAGCGGCTTTTTTTTTTTTTTTTTTTTCTTCCCCCTCCCCCTATGGCCATTAGAGACCTGCTTCCCAGCATGCCACAAAAGTTGCCTGAAAATCACGTGAGTAAGAAAATGTTTCCTAATGAAAACACTTCCCAGCTAAAAGCATGCAGTGAATCACAGACCTGCAAGGGTCTGGGTCCCAGCTCAGAAATCAAGTGCATGTTTAACCTTTAGTCCAGGCAGAGCCATACTGCCCTGGGGCTTTAACTCCCTAGGGAACAGTGAATAAGACTAAGGCAGCCTTCTCATTCTTGCACAGAATTAACTTGCAGATTTAATCGACCTGTTTTATTGCACATATTTATGTTGAATTGTCCTGCTGTATGAATTATCATTCATCTGGGAATATAATGGTTACAATGACTAACTTCCATGTCACATAACACAAAAATAAGAATACTGCCGAATTTTTAAGACTTTGTGGTACTGTTCCCTTACAGTAGTTCCCTTTCTGTTAAAATGAAAGTCAATTTGTTAAATATTTACTTACTCAACAAACATGTTGTTCCAACTTTATATGTCTTTAAGTAATGAATGACAGAGCAGAAAAAGGCAGTTACTTGTCTCAGTTATTTTAGGTAAGTTTAGGAAAAACAAGAATTGACAACTATAACATACTGAAGAGAATGAATGTTTATTTTCCCATAAAATTGCAAAATGTAACTAGTTTATTAGACTGTAACTTAATTTTATTGCTCCAAGTCTTGGACATTCTTATTAAAGTCATTATTACTCTCTTAGCAACAAAAGGTTACAAAAAATAATTAAAAATATCTTGGGCTAACCTCACGCATGTGAAACAGCAATAATAATACAAACATCACACAAATCCCTTTGTCACCCTGTGATGAGAATGGGCACTTGTTTTTCTTGGAGTTAACCTTTTTGGGAAGAAGGAAGTAGCAGGATTTGGCTGCTGAATTCTTTCATTATCTCTCCTTCCTTTGTGTGGGGCATGAAGGACTGAATCAGAGCACTGCTAGATATGGCTACAGGCATCCAAGGGAGTCTATGCACATCGATTTCTTGAGCACCTATGAGCAAGATTGCTGATCTTGAGAGCCAGGTTTCCTTGCTACACAACATTAAGAAGAATAAAAAGTTCCTGGATGGTATTTTTAGAGATGTGAACGTGCCTAGCAAAGGAGGGACTGAAGTGTGCAGTGCAGAAGAGAGTTAGAGATGAAAGATGAGTTACGGTGACTAGAACATAAAAAGGAAGGCAGTCATCCAGAAAGGATTGTGAATGTTGGAGTAAAATAATTTGCCCCTGGATATATGGCTGATAGGTGATGAACATGCAACTCTGGAATAAAGTAAATAAGCTTTGCCAAACATGCTCCAGCTATGGATGAGGAGGAAATGTGTCCAAGACACAAACAATACGGTTACTAAGCATCATCTGGAAGACAGTGTGTTCATTGGTATGTTATGCAGTACAGTTTGGAACCTCTTTTGCTTTCAGTTTTCCCTTGGCATCCAAGTGAGAGATTTCAGATAGCTGATAGCAGTCCTGAGTGGAGCTGCCACCTGACTCATCACTGCAGTCAGCCCTGGACTCCAGGAATGCAAGAGCAAGTCCCTGCACTTCACTTAAATAACGGTGCTGGCATCCTCACCTCTCACCTTGAGAGTGGTTAGACAGTGGGACATCAGTGATGAGACAGGTTAAAATATGGGATAAAGGCGTTTTAACAGCATTGGCTCTTGCTGACTTAAGACCGAAGTCCTGGATGCCAGGGTTTGGAGCTTTTCTATATTCTCCAGGGTTTAAGAACCTGAAGATGTTGTTTTGTCTTTGTCTAGCGTGCTGCATGCAGATCACTGAGGCTCTGGTGAGAACATCCCATGATATCTTAGAAAAGAAAATGTGGTCCTTTTATCTTGTGATTCATTTAATCAGATTTCAGGAATTGGTATGATAAAAAGATATATTCTTCCCTAAAGTTTGAGCAGAAATGTGTATGTCATCTTCAGAGCTGGACAACAATGGATTAGAAATCCAACGTAAGCCAGTAGTCCTGTGAGCTACAGATCTGATGGGGCTTGGCTTCCCTTGGGTGATCTCTTACTTGGATTATCTTAGGTCTAGCAGGCTAGAAGCTCCGCTTGCAGCTTTTCCTGTGGGTGGGTATTCATTTCATCTTTCATCTTTGCAGCTTTCCTGGTGTTTAATAAGGGTTTAACTCAAGCTGCAGTGGGTCTTGTCTCCTTTACTTAGCAGCCTGTTTTCACAAAATGCGTAAGAATGTGCCATTTTAGAGCCTTTTATTGCTCTGTCAGATGTGGTTAAAATTGGCTACTGTTTGTTCTTGTTCCCCCTCTTTCTCTTGCATAACCTGCAAGTATGTACACGCACGTATGTGTGCACGCAGGCGCACACACAGAGATTTATTAAAGCTGTGAAGAGATAATAATCTCCAAAAAACTTTTAATTTCTGTAGGAATCCAGGCTAAGAGGAAAAAAAAAAAGTGCTGTAATATTTTTTTTTCTTTGAGAGAAGAAAAGCAGGAAGGTGGTTTGTTGTTTTTTGGCTTCAGATAAAATATTCAATTACCTCTCTGTTTAAATTGTGTGCATTGCTGAAAATCTGGCCCTACTGTAGCAAAGTAAAAGATGTACTGGAATTCTTGTCCTGGAATTGCACGCTGATGCTTATGCAGGACACACAGACGTAGCCTTCGGTGCTTGAGTGGTCCTGCTGAGACTGGAGGAATGCATAGGGAACTTAGGCTTGCAGTGCAATCCTGTCTCTGTTAAATCTTTTGGAGTTTTGCCATGGAAGGAAGGCATTTTACCCTTGTAAGTAATTAAGATGATAGTGGAGTTTCTGAATTTTCCAACTTTGTGAAAACAAACTAATAGCAATGATCCACTTCAATAATTCAAATATTAATTGACACACGAGAGAGAAACAATACAGTAAAAATAATTAACTTTTGTTAATTAATTTTTAGAAGTAGGAAGGACACCTGCGGCAAAGCACAGACGTTAGCAGGTGTCATTAGATAGGGAAGGCTGCGTAGTAATTCTGAAACAAAAATGGGTCAAGTAGGACCAACAGTGATTTGCAGCGTGGTCTAAGAAGTTGTGTGGAGTATGTGATTGTTAGTGAGCTGCAAAGAAGGCAGTGAAGATGCACATTTTTTAAGATGTCTATAGAAGCCGGAGGTTAATTAGCAGTCAAAAATATATACAATACTTTATATCAGCACCATCAGTCTGTTAATTATCGTTTTCAATCTCAAATGTCTCTCTTTCAGACTTACACTGAAATATTGACAGTTCTTTTACTATGGCATTTCTTGGATAAATTTTAGTAAGTATCTGTTTTTTTCCTGCAAAGTTTCTTCTGACTGGAACTGGATTTTCAAATCTCACCCAGGTTTCTCTACCTTGCTATTTGTGTTGTGATTCTCATTGTCTGTGGTATTGTGGGGAAAAAAGGGCGAACGTAACTGTTACCAGTGTCTTGTCCAACTTTTAAATATTGACTTTGCTGCAGTGTAAAAACAGAAAAACCTGCAGTGAACCTTGAAACTTTCCACCTACTCTTTATAAGTTATTAAGTTAAAGGCACAAACCTAATTTGATCCATTACTCTTGATGCTTAGGTCTACTTTTAATGAAATTACGCTTGTAGCAAAAACCTCAAAGGTTTTATATGCCACTGTGGACAGGCCAGAAAGAAAACTAAACCTGGGGGGGGGGTTCCTCACAGACAAGTGAGAGCAGATCAGGCACCCCGGGGAGCATCCAAGCCAAGCAGTCTGGTGATGGCATGGGCTGTCTCAGCACCAGCTAGAACAAAATGCTGGGAACTGCTGGGCGTTCAGGTCATTCCTGCCCCAGACCCTTCCTGGAGAAGGTTTTCCTGTCACACTGGCCCTGAGTCCTCTTCTGGAAGTAGCTGCCCGCGACTTTTCTTTCAAAGATCGTTTTGTTGTTATTGTTTTGTTGTTGTTGTTTTTTAAGAAACCAAAAACAAACCCTCCCTCACTGAAAGCTATGAAAGTGTTTAGAGCTGGTACCCAGGTTTATCAATCCCCTTTGCATACAAAATTTGCAGTCACTGTTCAGAACACCTTTTACCCCCTGGCCTTGAGGCTGCTGGAGCCAGGGGCTACTCTCCAACAGCCTTGAGACCTGCGGCTTGCCAGCGTGAGCCGGGCCGTGGCTGGGACTGGAGCCCCAAGCTTCTTTCTCCTAGGGGGAGCCACAGAGTCCTGCTTGATCTTGCTCTGGCAACTAGAATTCAGATTGAGATTCCTAAAAATGTCACTTCATCCTTCTAAAAATATTTCCTTTCAGAGCACATAATTCCTGCTATTAAGTTTTCAAATTTTCAGTAAACATATGTGCATATATATAATTTGCCAGTCTCTTTCGTTTCCACAATGGCCTAATTTTCTGCTATCAGTATTATTAAAAGTAAAATGCCAAATTGGAAGACAGACAGAATTATGCTAGACAAGAAGTACATAATACATTTTTTTCTTTCAGGTGAAAGATTTTTTTTTTTCCTTTTCATCTATGTATCTACTTATTTATTTCTGTTCCAACCTTGTGACAGGCTATGGAAAAAGATCCTTAGACACCATATTACCAATTCTGCAAGTCATGGTTATGGAATTTTCCTCTGAACAGTTTC